AAAAAAATTCTAACACTTGTGAGAAAAAAGTTTGAAATTTTAGTGAAAAGTTTTTGATTTTTTTGTAGAAAATTCCTTTTTTTGTTTGTTTCGGCAGTATGCCTTTTAACAACGCTGCAGACAAGACTAAAAAGTAGAAAATAAATAATATAAAAAAAAACTTTTTAATATACAACGCTTTTATAAATGGACTAAAAAGTAGAAAATAATTTTTTTCTTAGTCCCATAGAATTTGTTTTGATAACTTTTGATTTTGAAATTTTAGCAAAACATAAACAATTTATGAGATTGAAAATGAAAACCGTGGGGCGCATGTAATAGACCCGAATTGATATGAAGGGTAATATATGTATGTATGTATGTATGTGGATATATGAATAACGACCGCTTAAAATCGATTTCAAAGTTCTACTTTCGCTGTAGAAATTTTAGGTCTACGTTATGTAGTTTGACTATTGTCAATTAAATCGAATGCTTTGTATTGCATGCGCTCCACGTTTTTCGTTTTCAATCTTATAAATTATTTATAATGACTGTGGCTAAAATTTCAAAATCAAAAGTTATCAAAACGAATTCTATGGGACAGAGAAATATTATAAAAGCGCTGTATATTAAAAAACTTTTTTATATTATTTATTTTATATGCGCTCAGACGTTGATATGCAGAAATGTTCTTATGTATGCATATGCAATACATTTGTAAGTATGTATGGAGCGAGATACAGTCAGAGTCAAAAGTTAGTATAGACCTTGTTCTAATATAATATTCAAACATTTTTCATATTTTTTTTTTTTTAGTGAAAATAAGGTTCATTCTATAACACTGTGCGACAATTTTATGGCAATTCAAACTAGCCCGAAATTTGCTAGTATTTTCTGAAAGTATATATATCCAGTAATGAAACACTCGATGGATTTGCAAAAGTTGGCTCGTATTTTGATTTTATGACCTACTAAACTTTTCATGTCTCGGCCTAAGTAGTTTTCAAAAAAGTGGGGAAAAATTGTTCAAATAATTATCTGAGTGAAATTAAATATTAAGACATTTATAGTAAAATTTCATGGGAAATATTTTCGTAGAACATTTTAACCTATTAGCTCCCACCTAAAAGGATCGTTTTGACCGTTACTTCAGGAAACCCCTCAAAAAGCAAATTTGGAAGTTCGTTAGAGGGTTGATATATTCTAGAGGATGATTTTTCGGAAAATTTTACTAGGGGCCTTCTCAGGCGAAAGCTTCGTGTGCCACCAACGTAAAAGTCTCTAAAAAATTAAAACAAAAATCAACAAAAAAAACTTGGCTTTTACAAGCTTTTATTTAACTTGCTCTGTATGTATATATGTGTGCTTGTTACCGATGACAATGCGATACGAAAGATGAATTAATCCGACAGGTGGCGCAGGAGTCGAGATATTTGAAAAACCCGTATTTATAATCCGATTTGGTTAATATCTAGCAAAGGAATAAATCCACAAAAAATTTTACCGATAGGTGGCGGATGAGTTGAGATATTTGGTAAACCAGTATTTTGGTCCGATTTCGATCATTTTTATTTAGAAAGCTTGTGTTAAAAATATTTGTTTACTATTAACTTATTTTACAAATAATTTTTTAAAATTGAGTTTGGCTGTTATTCCTTCTTGCAGAATATTTCTACCTAGAATATATCAACGACCTTTTCGCTTTTTGCGGATTTTCTTGAAGTAAGGGTCAAAACGAGCCTTTCAGGCGGCAGCTAATGGGTTAAAATGTTCTACGAAAATATATCCCATGAAATTTTATTTACCATGTCTTAATCTTAAATTTCACTCATACATTTTTTTTTAACCATTTTTTCGACTTTTTTGAAAACTACTTAGGCCGAGACATGAAAACTTTAGTAGGCCATAAAATCAAAATACGCGCTAACTTTCGCAAATCTATCGAGTGTTTTACTACTGGATGGGTATACTCTCAGAAAATGTTAACAAAGTTCGGGCTGGTTTCGGCCGTCACACAGTGTAACATAAACCATATAATTTAGTTTGAAATTTGTATAAATATTTTTGGAATTCTTGTGAATGTTATATAAACAGATCTATTCTGCACGCTACCGATGTTTTGGTAACCAAAAAATGCTACCACTTCTTGTCACCTCGCTTCCAGGTTCGTCGGTAATGCAGCAAGATTTGTGGAACAAGTTGTATGCTGACTTTTGTCACTGACTGTATATACATACGTATGTCCGTGCGCGCTTCAGTATATGGGTGCAAATAAAGATCCATATCAGCGAGTAATTGCAAAAATGTTATTTGACGAAAGATTATCAGCTCCACCGCTGCCAGCACTACACAAACGTATGTACAAACCTGTACAGCTGTGTTCAAAAAAATAGTAGTGTAGCTGGATCATTTCCATCAACCAAGAAACTCAAGTGTTACACATAAAGGATGTATTTAAAAAACACGTTTTTTCGCTCTCCAGTAAAATTTGAGTGCCGTAAGATAGGCGTTTTTGCAATTGGTCGATGGGCGGTTTTGCAAAAACATCGACGATATGTAAAATAATGCGAATAGTGTATCCAACTATTTGTTCTGAGGTTTGTTTGTACATTTTGTCGTCGTGAGTTCTTGGTATAACTAATTATTAGCTGCGATACCGTACGAGTCCGGACTAATTAGAATTAATCAGATTTTACTGGAAATCGATCCCGTGCTCGAATCTCCGACTATTGAGGGGGCAAAAAAGAGTGTAAATAAGGTCCTCTATGGATCACAAGTTGCCAGTTTTAGTCAGAAGATTTGTTGCTCTTAAATTCTGGTAAATGTGTCAAACGATCAGCTGTAGTGTGCTTGACAACCAAATTATAAACAAAAGAATAGTGCACTCTGCTAATGCATGTTGAAAAGTATTTAATTACTTGTTTAAGTGAATTCTAATAAATATGAAAGTATTTTTGGTTATTTACATGTGTGAGCTGAGTGTGTTTACAAAAAAAAATGAGCAAAAAAGCTGTCAGAAGCTACCATTTTTTACTACATAGAAAGCAATCCCGTTCTTTTAAGTGTTACTCTCTCGTTCTGAGCGAATATTTATTTTTAGAGAGTTTTACTAATTTTAGTCCGACTATTCGTCGGGATTGGACCTATTACTTCCCGCTTATCAATAAACAGATGCGTTTATCTTCTCAATTGCAAAAGAGGTCACCGTACTTTTAGTAATTTTACATTGAAAATTCTTAAATACCTAAAATCACCGAATTATGGAGACATTTTTATTTACTTAAAATGTTACGAGCTTCTCAAGTTAAGCACTACCTACTTTTTTTTGAACAGCTGGTTTTTGGGCATATAATTAAATACCTCATGAAATGGCAAAATGAAGCACAAAAGTTTCTATTT